ATGACATATGTAAATAAATTGAGATATGTACTTTAGAAAGTTGATGCAATTCAGGGAGACATTCCCAGTGTGTTTACAAACGTAAAACTCTAAAGTTGGAATTTCATCTCTACACATAGTATTAACGATCAAAAGAGGCAGATAGTCTTAGAAATACATAGCTAGTAACCAATAACCTTAGCTCCAAAAAGCACAGATTTAAAGTATTTCCTCCTTTTTTCCTGATTTTCATAATCACTTGACTATATGCTTAGCAAAAAGGAAAAAGTCTAAACAACAGAACCAACAGTATATTAATTATTCAAATGAACAATCTCATCCTGACTTCATAGATGTATTTTTTTCTTGTATTTTAAAAATCTTTTAAAAAAATTAATTATTTTTATTTTATGTGTATGAGTGCATTGCCTGCATGCAAGTGTACCCATGTCATGCGATGCCCGAAGAGGTCGGAAGAGGGTGTCAGATCCCCTTGAACTGGAATTACTGACAGTTGTTGGCAGCCACGCTGGTACTGGGAATTGAACCCTGGTCCTCTGCAAGTGCAGCCAGTGCTCTTAACCACTGAGTCATCTCTCCAGTTCCATGGATTTTTAAAAAATATTTTATTATTTTTATTTTATGTGTATGAGTGTACTGCCTGCATGTATGTGAGTGCACCCGTGTCATGCAATGCTCATCGGATCCCCTGGAACTGGAGTTACGGACAGTTGTTAGCTGCCATGTGGGTGCTGGGATTCAAACCGGGGTTTTCTGCAAGAACAACCAGTGTTCTTAACTGCTGAGCCATCTCTCCAGCCCCAGATGTTATTTCTTTAGTGAAGCATTGCTGAAACTGGAAATTCCATTAAGGAACCATAATTATTTTTTTTTAAACAATCTCATGTAGGCTTGAACTTGCTATGTAGCTGAGGTTGGTTTTGAACTCCTGATCTTCCTGCCTCAACCTTCGAAGTGCTGGGATTAAAGCATGTACCACCACATCTAAATTCAGATTTGGTGTTGAGGATTTTCTTTTTCTTTCTTTTTTTTTTTTTGGTCTTTTTGTGACAGAGTCTCCCCGTAGCCCCAACTGGCCTGGATCTCACTATGTTTACCAGGCTAGCCTTGAACTCACAGAGATCCCCCTGCCTCTGCCTCCCAAGTGCTGAGATTAAAGGCATGCACTACCATGCCTGGCAGGTGCTGAGGATTGAGTCCAGGACTTTATGCATGCTAGGCAAGCACTCTACCAATTGAGCTACAAACGAAGCCCAGGAATCATAGTTTTTTGATCATGAATTCGAAGCTATTCTAAGTAAAATAATACATAAAAAATAATTTTCAATAAATTTACATAATCAGTGGATTAAGACAAAAATGAAAAAGGAAAATTTACAAATAAGGTAAACAAGTAAGCTATTAAATAATTCATGCAGATAATTTTCAGCACTGTGTTGCACATACTCAGGAGCCACTAAGGAGGTGTGCTGTCCCAGACTGCTAGTTATTACTGCTTTTCTGCACTACACAGACAAAACATAGATAAAGTGGCTAGATGTCTGAAATTAAGTGTAACTATACCTCTGTTACTGCCTGTGACCTCAGCTGACACTGACTTTAATTACTTTTGAAGCTGGGTCTCCTTCCATTCTTACTTGCTGTCAATATCCCAATAGTCTCAAAACTCTAATTAAATTTAAAATAAATGCTGAGGACTACCTATGAAAAAAATCATAAACTAAATATGAAGATGTCTAATATGGAAAACTATAGATATATAGTTTCTTATTTATTTTTTCTAAGTGTTTTAGAGCTTTGTAAATTACTTCTGAGTTGGAAATATTTGAGGTGCCTAAAACTAACTGGATAATTAGAACAATGTTCTAAATAGATTTCTTTGGCTTTCTGTTATACTTTTTAAAAAACAGAACTTTAAATAAGTGGAATCAGGTTTAATAAAGGTAGCAAATAATAAAACAAGTTATCATAATTAGAACCCAGTCTTTTATTGTCAGTACTTAGAGAATCAAAATAATAGTAGATAGAAATACATCAGTTTTTGAAATAATTTCTATACACTGCTCTCATACATGATAAAACAACATTCTGATTTGTTATTGGTTTCTTGTGAGCATGATTATGATCCACAGTGCCAAAGCCAGATAGCTCTGATAAACCAAATAAAAACATGTTTCATAACTAAGGACAGGATGCTTCACAGGATAGGCTTTCTCAGTCAAGAGTTCCTCAGCAAAAATAATAAGTCAGAGAAAAGTGAAAAGTGACTATGATCTAGAAAAAATAGGGCATGTTTAGCAGCAGTAGAAAGGAGCTTAAGACGCAAAGCTCCTGAAAATGGTTTCTAATACTTGCCCAACACAGTAACCAAAACATTGCTTTTAAATATCAGTTGAGAGGACAAAGCTCTCCCAACTTTCCTTCTTCACTTCCTTTCCTTTACTACTTTGACTCATATCTTCTGGTTTCTTTTAAAAGAAAACTCTTTCAACAAGAAATGTTCTTTTGTTTCCTGATCTTAAGTGGACTACTGTTATTTCTTTTTTAAAAAAAAAATTTATTATTTTTATTGTGTGTATGAGTATATTGCCTGCATGTATGTAAGTGCACCTGTGTCAAGCAATGCCCACGAAGGTCAGAAGGCAGCATCGGATCCCCTGAAACTGGAGTTACAGATTAACCAGCTGGTTGTTAGCCACCATGTGGGTGGTGGGAATTGAACCCAGGTCCTCTGCAAGAGCAGTTACTGCTCCTAACCACTGAGCCATATCTCCAGCTCAGGACTACTGTATTTCTAAGAGTTGCAGTGGCTTAAGGTCTTTTTGGATGTAAAAAACAAAACTGGAAAGCATTTAATGTATGTCTAGTAATCCTTTATCTTAGGGTCCTATTCATACTAATAAATAGTATGATTCTGAAGGATCCTCAATGTTTGAGAACTAAACAATACTATATAGTTTTTAAATGACCAATAGCCATCTTAAGCTAAGACCAAAAATTCAGAGAGCAAGCTACCCAAAGTTTCATAGCCTGTAGGATAGCAAAGGGGTAAATCAGGCTAGCTGTTCCAACTCAAAACCCTATCCTATCCTCCATCATATGTCACTCTTCTCCCCATATTACAAACATGAATGATGGTAATGGACAGTGAGCTCCAAATAAGAGACAAACACAGGTCAGCATGCACTACTGTGGGCTCTAAGGGTTTCTCAAAACAGCAAAGTTTTCCTAATCTTTAGTCATCATTCAACAAAAGAAGGGAGGGAGGGAGGGAGGGAGGGAGGGAGGATTGTTTTGATAAGCTTGTAGGAAGTTGGGCATCTTTACACCAGCAAAATAATATCCTTGTTGCCAAACTACCACCAAGTATAAAACGTATAAAGGCTTAAATACACTAATTTGGAATTTAAACAAAATATAGTTTGTTGTAAGTTCTCTCATAAAAATCTTCACACACATTAGATATATCAAAATTTAAAACAGAATTTAAAAGGTTCAAATAATTACTTAAAACATTCAAAAGAATTCAGTAATAGCTATGCAAATAACCCTATAAACACAACTGTGAGTCAGTTTAATTTTTCAACATGCACTTTAATTAATAAGCCCCCTCTTTTTTTTTTTTACCTGTACTGTTTTTAACTGTTGGGTCTGTAACACAGAGGGCTGAGTTGGAGTATTAATCAGTTGACTTCCTGGGGTCAATGCTGAGACACCAATGACAGGTTTCACCTCTGGCCTCCCTCCAATGGTAACTACTTTAATTTGCTGCGATGGTAACTTAGCATCTCCTGACTGCGCCTGAGTTGTAACTTTCTGAGCCTGGGGTAGTTGGCTATGGGGTAGTGCTAAAACAATTGGTGAACCAGACTTGCCCAAAGTTGTTAAAATTAACTTCTGTCCATCTGGCTTAAGGGTCTGATTGCCAAGTTTAAGATCAGATGTCTGTGATACTTTGTTTAAAATAATCTGATTGGCTGATATAGTCACAGGAGTCTGAGCACCAAGTTTTTGAAGGCCACTTGGAAAAGCTGGTTTCACTGTGGTATTAGAATCTGCTTTAGTAATTGTGGTATTCACTGCAACTTGGTTAGTGTGGTTACTGTACACTGTGATTGGTTCCGTGGAAATGGGCGTGGCTGTAGAATCACCAGTAGAATTTATGTTGACAATTTCTTCCAGTTCTGTCTCCATGGGAATTGGGGATGAAACAATAACAGCCTCAATACTATCCTCATCCACTAATGTTATACCAGTGTCCATTATCTCCTCTGGAAGCAAACTATTCACCTCAGCTGGCACCACCTCCATGATCGCTCTGCTGCTAGAAAGATGATCAGGTGCTGTAATAAAATTTGAAAAAACAATGTTACTACAGTTTTGAAACAGAGTTAAAGAAGAGGCATTCAAGAAAAATGTAAATGACAAAATAAGGAGGTTTGACTTTTTTTTTTCTTTTTTGTCTTTTTGAGACACGGTCTCCCTGTAGCCCCAGCTGTCCTGGAACTCACTATGGAGACCAGGCTGGCCTTGAACTCACAGAGATCTGCCTGCCTCTGCCTCCCAAGTGTTGGGAATAAAGGCGTGCACCACTACACCCCGCAAGGTTTTACTTTAAAAAAAAAAAAAAAAAAAAAAAAAAGGGTCTCCCTGTAGTCCCAGCTGTCCTAGAATTCACTATGTAAACTCTGTGAGTTCGAAGCCAGCCTGGTCTACATAGCAAGTTCCAGGCCAGCTGGGGCTACAAGAAGACCCTGTCTCAAAAAGACCAAAAGAAAAAAAAAAAAAGAAAAAAAAACAAAGAATGTATTTTCCCGATAAAGGAAAAATAGGTGCAGATAATGAACAAATCAGCTGTAATGCTTTCATCTAAAAATCCTTTAGAATCTCCAATACAGGAAGTAGATTCCACTATCAGTGTGTATTAAAGACAGAAGAGCATGTCCAGATAGACGAACAGCAGTAAATTATTTGCTCAGAGAATATCAAAGATCCATAAAAACCTGGTCTACATAGTGAGTTCTAGGCCAGCTGGGGCTACAGGGAGAAAGCATCATACTAAATAGAGAAAAACCTCAAAGCATTTGTGCTAAAACCAGGAACAAGAAAAGGAAGAAGAAGAAGAAGAAGAAGAAAAAGAAGAAGAAGAAGAAGAAGAAGAAGAAGAAGAAGAAGAAGAAGAAAGGGGGGGGGAAGAAGAAGAAGAACAACAACAACAACAACCCTCTCTTTCCTTCTTTTTGGATATGCTCTCATCTCACTACCTAGCCCAAGCTGACCTTAAATTCTTTGTCCTCCTGGGTACTAGGATCACAGATGCACAGACATGCATCATCACACTCACTTCATTTTCTTAAAATAAAAAAAGAATGCAACAATCATTCCAAAATTAAGAGTAACAAATGAGCTGGCGTGGTGCTTCAGTCTACTGTCCCAGCACTTGAGAAGCAGAAGTGGAAGCACTGCAGCAAGCTCCAGGCCAGCCTGTGCTAAACTCTGAAAACAAAGAGTAACCCATACCAGCAGTAAAGTATACTTAGCTGCATTGGCAAATATTACTGCTGCTCAAATAAGCCACCAACACTGAGAACTATGTGGCAACAATGGCATGATTTTCCTCACAAAACCACAGATATGTACATCATCATTACCCCTGCTTTATAGATAAGAAATGTATAAATGTTAAATTGCACAAGGTAACAGCTAGTGAATGGTAGAGACCAGTTTGTATGATTCTAAAATTGGCCATCTTAACTGCAAAATTTCATTATCATAAATGTTTTACCACTGGTGTTTTAAAATGTAGAAAAGGGGCTACAGAGATGGCTCAGAGGTTAAGAGTACTGGCTGCTCTTGCAGATGACCCAGGTTGGTTTCCAGCCCCCACATGGCAGCTAACAACTGTCCATAACTCCAGTTACAGGAACTCCTACGCCCTCTTCTGACCTTTTCAGGGATTACATGACACAGATACATTTACACATATGTAGGCAATACACTCATACATGTAAAAATAAATTTAAAAAATATTTTTTACCAATAAAATGGAGGAAAAAAAAACAAGCATACTTCTTCATTGTCAACTCTCCATCCTGAAACCCCCACACTACATAACTGCTGGTCTATCAGTATTTTGCATTTTTAATCACATTAGAATTCATATAAATGGAATCATATACAGATGCCTAACTTGTGATGTTCTCTCAGTAAACCCACTGTAAGTTTAAAAATGTGTAAGTCAGGACTGGAGAGATGGCCCAATGGCTAAGAGCACTGGCTGCTCTTGCAGAGGATGGGGCCGGGGGTGGAGGGGTTAGGTTCCCAGCACCCACATGGCAATTAACAACCACCCATAACTCCAGTTCTGGGGATCCAATGTCCTCTTCTGGCCTCCATGGGCAGTGCATGACACAGGTGTACCTACATACATGCAGGCAAAGCACTCTTACAGATAAAATAAAAATTTTAAATGTGTAACACAAAATACATAATAAACCTAATCTGTCAAATACAGTAGATGGTAAAGTATCTGGTGTTTTCCCTGTTGAACACATGGATGACAAGGAGCAGTACAGTAATGTGGAAAAGTTGAGGCATAAGGATTATCATGAGTTCAAGACCATGAGATACATGAGTGACTTCCAGGCCAGCCTGGACAACAGTGTGAGACCCTGTCTCAAAAATCCAAACCAATTAGGAGGCAGAGGCCAGCGGATCTTTGTGAGTTCGAGGGCAGCTTGGTCTACATAGCAAGTTTCAGGCCAGTTGGGGCTACTAAGAGATCCTGTCTAAAAAAAACAAAAAAACAAAACCAAAAAACCCCAAACCAAAAAACCCCAAAACAAACCAAATTATGAAAAGAGAAAAATCAGGATTATAGTTGTGTACCACCACACCTAGTTTATGTGATAATCAAACCTAAGAATTCACGAATGCTAGGAAAGCATTCTAACAAGTGAGCAATATCCCCAACCCAATTTTTAAAACAAAAAAAAGTTTGTGAGACAGGCTCTCAAGTAGTCGAAGATGACCTTGAATTTCTACTCCTCCTGCCTCATCCTCCCAAATACCAGGATTACAGGCATGTGCTACCACACCTGGTTTTATGTGGTGCTAGGGATCAAATCCAGGGCTTCCTATATACTCAGTAAACACTCTGGCCTACTTCCCCAGGCCCTGAGTTATAATTTATTATTCATGAACTTAGTTGTATAATTTTATATATCCACCAGCAATGTATGAGAGATCCAGCTGCTCCATATCTTCACAATTGGTATTGTCTGTTTTTGTTTGGGAGACAAGTTCTCACTAAATTCCCTAGGTTAGTCTTGAACTCTCTGTAGTCAGGCAGACCTTGAGCTCGTGATCATCCTGACTCAGATTCCAAGTAGCTGGAATTACAGGCTTGTAACACTGGGACTGGCTTTTTTGTTGCTGTTGTTAAATTTTGTTACTGCATTTACTTATTTAGGTGGGTGGGTGCTACGTGCCATGGTAGGTATGCTATGGTACACACATACAATAAAACGACAACCTGGAGGACCTGGTTCTTTTTCCACCATGTTGATCCCTTAGTCTTTAGCATCTGAGCATCTCACTGGTCCCTTGACTTTGTTTTTGAGACAGAGTCTTGCTACATGGTTCAGGATGGCCTAGAACTTGAGAACCTCCTGCTTTAGCCTCTAGAGTGCTAGGATAGGATTAAAAGCATGTGCCACCATGGTAACTTCTTTAATTTTTAAATTCTTTTATATTTATCATAAAGCAAAAGCAAACTTCATATGCATCAACTTTGTTAAAAGAAAGTAGATATACCTGATATGTAATTACATTCCTTTGTTACTTTCATATTTTTAAACATACTTAAAGATTTAAAAAATTTTTTATTTATTATTTTTATGTGTATGAGTGTATTGCCTGCATGTATGTGAGTGCACCCGTGTCGTGCAATGCCACGGAGGTCAGAAGAGGGCTTCGGATTCCCCTGGAACTGGAGTTAGGGATGGTTCATAGCTGCCATGTGGGTGCTGGGAATCAAACCTGGGTCCTCTGCAAGAGCAGTCAGTGCTCTTAACCACTGAGCCATCTCTCCAGCCCCTATTTAAAGATTTTTTATTTTTATTATTATTTTTTAATGTATGTATGTATGTATGTATGTATGTATGTATGTGTCTATCTATCTATCTGCCATGTATGTACAGGTGCCCTTGGGGGCCAGAAGAAAACACAGGATACCTTGGGGCTGAAGTTACAGGTGACTGTGAACTGGCCATATGAGTGCTAGGAATTGAACTCTCTGAGAGCGGCAAGCACTCTTAACTTCTGAGGCATCTCTTTAGCTCCTAATGTATTTCATTTTTTACATTTATTTATTTAGTGGGGAGCACATATGTAGGGTACAGGCCAGAGGACAACCTTTGGAAGTTGGTCCTCTCCTTTTACTACATGGGCTGGAAGGATCCAACTCAACCATCAGTGTCTTGCTGGCCCACATTACCTCTGTATGTTTAAACAACGTACTTACAGTGCTCTGTTAGGGATTGAACCTAGGAACTTGCACATGCTATACAAGAGCTATATCACTGAGCTACATCTCCAGTCCCTTCTTCTAGTTTTCCTAAAGAAAATGTTTGTTTCCTGTTATAATAGATGAGAATTTAATACCTGGAGATCATGTTAAGCTAAATAAGTCAGACTTAGAAAGGCAAATACTTTTTCTCACAAATGAGGAATTTATATATTTTTCATTCTGTTTCTGTTTGTCTAGCACACACTCTACCACTGACAACTATAATAATAATGCTGATGATCTTTTCATGTACAATTGCCTATTTGTGTGTGTGTGTATGTGTATTCATTGGAAAAGTGCCTCTTAATAGCCAGGACATGGTGGCACATACTGTAATTTCAGCATTTGAGAAGTAAAGGTAGAAGGTTATTAATTCAAGGCTAGATTGGGTTTTTAAACAAACAAGCCCAGTGTGGCAGTGCATGCCTTTAATCCCAGCACTAGGGAGGCAGGGCAGGCAGATCTCTGTGAGTTCAAGGCCAATCTGGTCTACATAGAGAGTTCCAGGCCAGCTGGAGCTACAGGGAGACCCTGTCTCAAAAAGACCAAAACAAACAAACAAACAAAAAAAACAAATGGGGCTGGAGAGATGGCTCAGTGGTTGAGAACACTGGCTGGTCTAGTGGAAGACCTGGGTTTGAATCCCAGCACCCACATGGCAGCTAATAACCATCCGTAACTCCAGTTCCAGGGGATCCAAAGGCCTCCTCTGTCTTCCATCAACATTGTACAACATGGGTGCACTTACATACATGCAGGCAATACACGAATATA